ATTGATGATAGGGTAATGTCACAATTTATCAGGCATTGATGGATAACTTATTACAAGCGAATCAGGAGACTCTGTTAATACGTTGCATGGCACTTACGTGTTTTAGCAATTATTATCTGCAATAAACTTAGTAGAATGAATGACATGCAATTGCAGTGTTATTTTGTACTGAATATGTAACTGCAGACAAAAAGAAGTACCGACAATGAAAACTTTGCGTTACCTAAATTGCTAAGGATATAAGACATGCACAAATCTAAGCGTATTACACACATATTTGAAAGCAGAATATACACAAGAGATTGAGAGACCATAATCTTGATCGCGTTTATCGCTCGTAAGCGGATACGCTACAGAAGTTGACTGGAAAATTATTAGAATAACTTTCGCGGCCAAAGTTTGCTCACGACCACCAATTACGACGCAAGTGAATTGGGTAAGAGTAAGTGGGACATGGTATGGGTGTTTTTTAGAAATATGTTTGACTAATTGAGCTATCTACTTATAATTGTTGTGCATTGTTGGTCCGGGCACGAAAGAAGAAGGTGACGATAGATTAAAAGCACACTCAATAAAGGTGTAGTAAGAGTACTGCATTCAGATGGAGATGTTTGTGTCTTGATTGAGATTTACAATTGTCCGCTTATTGTACATACCAAATGTGAACCTTAGATGCTGTTATGAGTTTTATACCGCCACAAATGAAGCTTTTCTTGCTCTCATTTTATACTGTGTTTAAATTCAACATTCTTTACTGATCTAAAACGCTCTCAAACCATCGTAGTAAGCGCTCACACCATCTTAGTAAGCACTCACACCATCGTAGTATGCACTCAAACCATTGAGGCATACACTCAAATAAGCGCTTGCAAATGCGCCAGAATCCATCGCAGCTATGTTGTAGCTATATTTGTCATTTGGCGTTGGTAACACAATGGATAACAGCATCAATCGCTACAAAATTATCCATGTGCTGCCAAGGCTATCAAAAATTGGCAACAATTTGTCATACAGTAGAATACTAATATTCAGGCTCTTTATTTCGGTAGCTGATCGACAAGCGGCTCACCAAAGAGCGAAAACATCCAGTTCGTCTTCGGACTGGATTTTGAATATCGACAATGACAGCACATTTTTCTCTTTGTACCACATGCTCAATAATAAGACCGCGTTAGGAAGTGCGACTGACACAGAATTCATGCGAAAAATCTATCTATCCGCAACGATAGCTATGTCATCTTGAATCCAATAAAATATGGATTTGCATTCATTCAGCGCCGAGATGAATTCAATCTCGGTTTCAAGCTAAATAAAGCAAAAAAGGAAAATGACAAATTGGTGGTGATAACACGTATACTATACAGCAATGACACCTTAAAGCTATTCAAGTAGTACACGGAATTTAAAATAAAAGTAAGGAAAATAATAAAATGCCTCAATCAATTACGAAAATTAAAAATGTCTTTGATAAATGAAATTAGAAAAAAGCCATGGATAATTGAAAACTTATAGGCGCCACACGTACTCGTATGCTCTTATTATAGTGATACACATACAAATTTCAGTTGCCATAGTACCTTGAATGTCACCTTTAAATTGCACACAGCTTTGTCTGCATTGCAAAAATAGACGTTATTATCTGATCGACCCCGCGTAAATATGATTGATAAGATATATCCACATAAAATTCAGGACCGCAACGTTAGGACAAAAAGTATGTAGGGACATTGTCATTCAATACAGCGCGAATTCTTCGATAAGACTGTACTTGATGCATCATCGCACGTTTTCTCTAAGCTATGTGCCTGTAGAGGAAGAATTCTAAATGCATGGAACAAACTAATAAGATCCAAACAGATCGGATTTATTTATTGGGTGTACTGGTATGTTTAAGTACTCCTAACAGTATTAGCTAATGAGAAGGAATGTAGATATCTTCCCACAATTGCACCACCAACAGCATCGTCAGCGTACCTGCACTAGAAGCAGTAGCAGGAGCAGTAGCACCTTACTCTACATAAACCAGCATAAAACGCAGCAATAATTCAACAAAAGCGGCAGTGCCATCAATCGCAAGCGGGTACCTACTGCAACAACAAAAGTAGAATCAGCGTACCCGCAGTAGCAGCAGTAACAAATATAAACGGGTGCAACTGTAACAGCAATAACACAAACATTCGAAAAATAACAACAAGATCTAAACGAATTACATCAATAAAAATATCAGCAGCACAAGTAGTCTGTGTAAGACCGCGGATGATGATAGGAACATGTGCCAAGTCTACCCATTTCCGCCCGCGCGCGCAGATTCCAGTCCAGTGCTGCTTCTAAAGAGCAGTGGTCGAGATCGAGAGAAAATTACAAATGAAAAATGACTGGCGATGTGGACTTTTATATGCACCACTTCAGCATGAGTACACCAGTACATGGGGCATTTTTCATTTTCCAATTATTTATGGCACTTTTTATTTTCGTGATTAAATGGGGCATTTGTTTTTTCCGAAAAATTATATCGTAATCCACCAATTTGCACCTTACGTGGAATCCATAAAAACATCTTGTTTGATGCATTCTCACTACTTACAAACTGTGGAAATCAGCAAAACCAAACACGGTCATTTATGCCCTTCTTTGATAGACTCAATGATATTTCATACCAGGTATTTCAGTAAGGCATCCAGGAGAGTGCGACCTTGCAAGTAGCGCTTACGGTGCTTTTGCTTCAAGTTAAATATCTTGAGCTATTGCCAAGCAGCTTCCACCATTGTGTAAAGCAAACAGATAATGCTGCTAATGCACTCCACTATTTGACATACATTCAACTTGCTAATATTGCGGTTAGACAAATTTGTCATTATCACGCAAGCTGCGATATGGTAGGTGCACCCGTGATTGTGTTTGGCGCACAAATTTCCATTTTACAGCAGTGTTCTTCTTTGCACTCCCGTACGATGATGCACCGTGGACAACTAGGTAAATGAGTATTTATACCACAAGCACCGTGACCTTACGCATTATACTTCCTCATAGCTGCAACCGTACCACACAATTTTTGATGCCGAACTATCTACTTTGCTTCGGAGTGCCGTTACGCAATACCATTATCCATTCGCAGCTTCTGTACAGCATCTGTGAATCAACAACAGTATTGTGGGCATTCAACAGAGCAAGTATTGCAACAAAAGAGATCAAAACATTATCCAGAGTAGTAGGGGGTAATGTATGATGATGTTATATGGTGGGTTGGGGTGAGCGTACCGGTTTTTAAGGGGCTTTTATAACGTACTATAACGCTAAAGGCAGTATTAATAAGCGATTTTTACAGTGATGCAATCACTAATAGGTACTTTATATTCAGTTTAGGGTATGTGGAAAAACATAAAGTAGGTGTGTTGATAACCATTCCCTACAAGTAAGAGTATGTATTCAACGTTTAATAATAGGACTGCATTTGTAATAGTTGATATTCTGTAAATGGGTATATGTTTATCCATACGTGATTTATTTTCTGAATAATCAATATTATAATCATAAGCTCAACCTTATAGCACACGTCGGTCGTGACTCTGCATCATGATTATGTCTTAGCCTAAACGCGAGGTCGAATGGTGAAGCTGTAAGTGACTGTTCTCAAATGAATACCAAACTTGTTAATCGTACTCATCTTTCTTTGTGTTTGTAGCTATCGCTAGATGTACCTTAAACGTCGTATCAAGCGCGATTTAGGATGTTCCATCTCATTGGTATATATGCATATTTTGGTCACCCTTTGGTCAGCATACTATTATGATGAGCGCACGTGATTGGCTTACCATCAATCAAAGGTGAACATGATCACATATAGCAATTGCCGGACGGTCATAAGCAAAGACTGATCGCGTTGCCCTAGTATACCGTACCGGGTTTATGCATGCATTAATGGCATCAAGCTAATTTTACAGTGGGATATAATTTGTAAATCTTTGCATCTTTATTCGATTCTTCGAATTGGATTACAAATATCCAAGAGCGAGCTCCAGAGCCTCTCTCCCTACCTCATGACTACTGCAGCACAAAATATTCGGCTGAGATTGTATTACAAGAAGATGGTGTTTGATAACTTAATTTTCACACTTAATGTTTAATTTAAATAAAATGTCATGTAATGGATACCCACCGATACACTTTGGTTCCCTTGCTCACACGATTTTAAAAATTCGTTATTGATTGATTTAAGGAACTATAGAAGCATCAACACCAGAGGGACTTCAAGCTTTGAGAGCTGAAAATAGGTACTTGACATGAGTCTTGAACTTTACACTATTTTTTAAAGAAGTCAACCTTTTCTTTAAATCTTGTACAATCTCTCATTCAAGACGAGATTGTGGTATGGCGTTAAGCCGCCTTATAATACCTATGCAATCGAACTTTAAATTACTCAATGTATTGAGGCCGTAAGTCAACATCGGTTATTAGTTAGAACCGTATCACATCATAACAGCCACCGACTACGTGAACGAAACTGGCAATATGGAAAGGCTTAGGCCGAATATACGCAAGCTCAGGACATTCAAAGCAGGTTCAATTGTATGTTTGATAACAATTTGAAAGACTAAAATGAAGTAAGTATAAAATCAGTGGCTGCAGGGCTATCAAACCACCTCCATCGTATAGCTGAGCTATTTAAAATCAGTTGCGATAAAGCCTTTAAAATGGTACATTTATAGCGAATGAAACGATAATGGGCAACCATAGAGCTCTCAAAATGACCTCATAGTAAAGCTAAGTCAAATGGAATATGTGGCTGTGAGGCTCTCAAACTGATTCAATAGTATAGCCAAGTGAGTCAAGATTAGTGGCTATAGCGCCTCGATACTAACTTCCAAAAAGACACCAAAAATACTCAATAAGGCATTATCGTCCGTACAATTGAAAACATCGAAACACGAACTAATCGATTATTCAGGCGGGTCATCAATCCTATCGCTCTCACTTCACCCAAGTGCCCTGATCTCCAAAGCATGCCACCTCTCCGCCTCTATGTCCTCGTCCTGAGTGCTGTTCTTCTACTGGATTATCAATGCTTTTCAGCTTTTACCGGTACAGTGGTCGCAAAATCTGAAGCTACAGGAGCGGAGACCACCCACCGCTTGACCAGTGATCAAGCGTCCGATCATAGTCGTGAGGAAAGAATCGTATCCGTCGACAGTATGATGTCTATGTTTTCAGGGTGGATTCGTGCAATCAAAGCTTTTATATTAGGCGCCATAAATTCACTTCGTCGAGCCGACGTGAAGAAAGTTCCGGAGCGTAACGTCGATCCGACCAAGCTCCGTGTACCGGCAGACAGAATTCCTGAATCAGTCGCCAGATTCAAAAAAATTGACACTGGCAAAACGCGGGGGAAAGCTAATGTCGGACCCACGCTGCCCAGCCGCCTCCCAGGGAATGCTGATGCCGGACCCGCGCTGCCCAACCGCCTTCCAGAACCACTTCCACTTCCACCTGACGCCAACGATTTCAAGATCAAATACCCCTACGTCCAACGCATTTTGGGCGAAACGAAATTTAAGAGCGGCTTCTTTTCTTCAACCGGATTTGACAATTACAAGAACATTGTCATCCCTGAGTTCGTCAAACCTCAGTATGACAAGGTAACTGTGGACGTTGACTTTCCTCCCGAGATGTACGAGTCTCTTCAGATGTACCTTTCTCTTCAGGGTCGCGATAAACTAGATCTCGTAGCTATCGCATACTGCGCAATGCTGTCCTTTAAATTCGCAGATGTGGGTGAGAGTTTGTTGAAAACCGTGATCACAGACATGAAGCATTTGAAACGGGCGGGTGTGAAAGCAAATTTGCGGAATAAATTCAAGAATGACGGCGACCAACTTTTCACTAGAGCCATAGACTTTTACATCGATAAGTATCTCACTGAATAAACATCTACTATGTCAGTTACAATGAACATTTACTAATATATAGCGAGCCCGAAGAGTGAAGCTTTTAGTGAGTGTGCGCAAGGTTGAATACCGAACCTTTGATTCGCACGCATCTGTCTGCGTGTGTCTGTGTGTCTGTAAATAACGCGGTAAAGTGTACCTGACTCCTACTAGGTACGCTCTAGCCGGTCCCCCTAACAGGTCGATTCGCATGACAGGTGTCACTCTCTGGCTAGGTCACTACTGTAATGCACGTATGTGCAACTCATTCTTCAGTGACTGCTGTTGCATGTGGTTTTACAACTTGATTCAGTTTTCCGAACTGGACTACTTTTATCAAAGGTTGAGCTCCAGAGCTTGCTCCCCTATCATCTTCAATTTTTTTCAAAACCAAAATTTATCAGTTCTATTGTGTGCTCGAAGGGTGAAGCCTTGAGGGCCTGTGCACAAGTGAACGCTGAAATCTACAAATCGTACTTTATCTGTCTTTTGGTGTGTTTGTCGGCATGTCAGTGAATATCGCCACGTGCACATGAACGTCTTACTAAGTGCGATATAGTCTTTCGCCGTCTTTGTTTGTCAATACCACCTGACGTACCTTACATGTCGCACTGAGTGCGATGTAGCCTTCGCTTCCTTTGCATGTGTTTGCAAATAAACGCTCAGTGTACCTAACCCGTCGCACGAGGTGCGATGTTGCATTTGTCCCGTGTTCATAACTTAATAAACAGAATCGTTTAAAGCTTCAGTGACTGAACGCAAGGTACGTGCGTGCATATACGGACCTTGAGTCAGGATGATAATATACATTGAAGATAGGGGAGCAAGCTCTAGAGCTCGCCCTTTTATGTAAGTAATTCAGTTGGATAACTGAATCAAGTTGCAAAATACTATACAATATCGGTCTCTGAAGAACACGTATGATGCTGTTGATGTATGCACTAACCCAGTACAGTATACTTGGGTAACGCGATCAGCCTTTGCTTACGATCGTCCAGCATTTGCTTGTGTGATCATATTTACCTTTGATCGATTATAAGTCAATCGCGTATGTGCGCCACAATAATGACCTAGCCAAAGATGGACTTCGTATATGCCTATACACCAATGAGGAGGAGACAGGCTAGATCAAACATATAAGGTATACCTAGCCGCATCATTTACACACACAGATAAGTACGATTTAAAAGTTCGGCATTCACCTGGCGTACAGACACTAAAGCTTCACCTTTCGGGCTCGCAACAAGTGTGTGAACGGCCCCCAAAACATTATTTTTTGCTACTATTCTCACAATAAACGTCACTGCACCGCATCCAATTCGCGATCCCGTACATTCTTGCCTCCGCATACTCTGCCTTATAAACCCGTTCATTGAAAGACCACATTTAGTGACTCTAGTTAGCAACCCTCTTATCGTCTTCTAGCAAAACATATTGCAGTCTATAGCTCACGCAGGAGGCTACTCACGCATATGCATCTGAGAATGGCTTCGCGATTGTTGTTCAAAGGCCAGCTACATGATATTATTCTCCATGTAAAAAGAAGATGTGGATACGATGTGCGGAGGCAGGATACCATCGCATACGGTTGTCAAAAGAACCAGCTCTGAAAAGCATCAATTGGGAAAAGTGGGATGTCCTTACATATTTGCCCTTCTTCGAAAGAACAAAAGGGGACCAATACGCGTGAAAACAGGTATTTTCCTGTGCCGTGCTCTCAGCAGCTTGCATAGTAACACTCACCAGGTACCGGTGGATTCAGACCGGTTGGGAGCGGCCGCTACTTCGGCGACCACGTCTCTAATCTTACTGGGGCGGTTGTACAGGAGCTAATTTTTGACGTCAATTGCTTACATTTTCGTCGAGGCTGCGATTCTTCACGCTCGTGCGACTTTGCCCGGCTACTGGTTCGAATCTCAATATTCGATCAGTTTTTATGGCTTTCTATTTATTTGTTTATTTATTCATTTCTGTCTAACCAGACGACTAATTCATGTTTTGATTGGCAGTCCGTACGCACATAGACTATTCTATTTTTAATCTGAAGGCGAGTTGCTTGTTTCTTTTTTCGAATTCCCCAAGAAAAATTAACCTCAACGTCATCGTGACATTGTGCTCCCCAGTATCTACCCCGATGCTTTGCTGACCGTGTCCTAAGCAGGGTAAGCTAATGACGTCAAAAGAGTCCAGGCAATAAAAAGCAACCCGAGAAGACTACCGATACAGAATTCCACCGAAAGGTTCAGACACCACAGAAGCCGCCTAACGATGCTCTGAACAAGCTGAGTCCGTGCACTGAATAGGCTTCTATCTGTTACTGCCCATAGTGCTGCACACTAAACGACGTTTGGGTACTCGCTTCGAACGGATGGAGGAAGTTTGAGGACTCAAATCTGATTTATTACCCATAAAAAGAACACCGCAACACCGGATTTGACTACGTGGAAGTCACGACGGCTTGAACCCCTGTTCGTGTCCGAGTTTGAGACCTGCTCACATGGCTCCATCGTAACCGTCCTCTCGGAGCTTCCCGTGTTTGTGAAATTAAGGTCTCGCGTCTTCTTTTTCTCGACCCATTGAGAGATCTTCCGCCCAACACTTCCTCCTCTTCCTCAAACCTGCAAGCGTTTATCTGTGCAGGTCCGTCATGACTTGGCGCTCGCTCTGGAGTCAACTGACCGTAACAACCTCCCTCCTCCTCCTCCTCACCACCGTCGAACCAAGCGCTGTCCAAGTGTACGACGCAATGGTTTCTGAACTGCCACCAGTAGCTTTCGACATGTACATCTTAGCACAGAGTTGGCAACCGGCTTTCTGCTTTCATAAAGAGACGCAGTACCCTGGTTGCTGCACCCCGCAGCGCTACTGGCGCTCGCATCTGACCCTGCACGGGTTATGGCCCGAACTATCGGGGAGTGCCCCGCCGAGCTTTTGCTCGAGCGAGGCGTTCGATGCCGAGAAGATTGAGCGTGAGCTCGGTATTGACACGCTGCACGAGTTCTGGCCCGACGTCAAGTTCAGTGAAGCGTCGCCACAGTATACGGACTTTTGGAAGCACGAGTGGGCGCGGCACGGCACGTGCTCCGGTCTCAAGCAGGTCGAGTACTTTACCAGTGCTATTGACCTCGAACGCAACGAGACGTTGGCACCGACGCCCGAACTCGTGCAGGACAATGTCGGGGGTCACGTCAACGCTCAAAAGCTGCGAGAAGCCTTCGGTGACGCAGCTCTTCAGTGCCAACACTCGCGCGATGGGGACACGTACGTCACCATGTTCTCCCAAGTCTTTACGTGCTGGCACAAGGACGAGCACAATGTACCGACCCAACGCGGGGCCTGTCCACCGCATATTCACTCGGAAGACACGTGCGGCAAAGGCACTGTGAGCATCCCTGGGTTCCGTGCTTCAGACAGTGACCAGGGACAACAAGACGAGATGGACTCAAGCGAGTCGAGTTAGAGGACATGTGACAAGTGAGGGAGTGCAAGCATAATGGTGGTTGCAGAGCAAAGGTGGGAAGAAGTTCTTTGTAGCGTTGCTTAAAACAGTGCGAGCTTCTTTTGACCTGCATACCTGTGCACTGTTGCTTCGGCTACCCGCCTGCTACATGTGACAAGTATTCTTCGTACCTTCTTATCGATTAAGTGCCAGGTGAGAAGGGGACAGTTTCGATGAAATCGAGTCAATCGCCATTTAGTCTACAGATCTCCCTCTCGTACGGTGTCACAGTCTGTAGACCAGCGCAGGACAAGCAGTAAGTTTAATGAGTACACGCGGTTTTTATCATTGTTCACGCTTGGCTATGGGCAGTTGTTGCTTCGGCCAAGTCCTTCACCGCTTGTTGCGATCTAATCTACTACCTCACACTAAAACGCTATGACACATTGACAACACTCGGCTCGAGGGGTCGACTCTGCATCTATTATGCCAGACCTCTCTACTCTAACACATGGACGCTCGCACGAGCGAGACACGGAGAGGCGGGAGCACGAGTGTTGACGTTGCTACTGTCACGGGTGACATGCTCCGTCGCGACTGAGTCGAGTAGGAAATACGACGAGACACGTCGCCTGTTATCGTCAGTTTAGGCAGCTTGCTCACACTGGGAGGTGTCGTCACCATTGCAGACGTAGCTGCATATGGGGAGCTGAACAGTGCCGGCTGTGCTTGACGTGGCGCTTGATGGACAATCTGTGGCTCCGTGAGCTTCACAGTTGCTGCTGGGCGTCCTTGTTGCTGGGCACGCACGACACTGTTGATATCGTCGTAGCTCCGCTTGCGAGCAAGAGTTGCCACGCTTTTGGTCATTTGTGGTAGTGTCGCCGTCTTGGCATAGTAAACCGGGTTCTCCTTGAGTACCACATTGTTGCTGGCGGCTTCCAGAGCCTCTTCTTCCTCAATGCTCTGAATGAACGCGCGACGGAGTCCAGCTAAGTGAAGTGCCGCGTTCTCTTTGGACCGAGCCGCGGCAGGGGAGTCTTGGGCACACGGGTAGTACGCCCGTCGTCCGATCTTGGGATTGATCTTGATGCCAGCAAAGACCGAGCCTGGAAGCAGCTTTTTCGAAATCCGCATCGGGTCGCAGTGGAGCTGCTGAGCCAAGTACCCGCGAAGCGTCGTGCCGTACTGAATGGCCAGAAGACCGTCACAAAAGTACGAGATCGTGGCTGCAGCGTAGTTCTCCTCTGCTCGTGTCCACTTGCCGCGCCGCAACGGGCCGGACAGAGTCAGGTCCACGTGGGAAGGCACGGATGGAGGCAGTAACTGCAACTGCTGTGGAGCACTGAAGACGTGCTGTGGCGAGTACGGCGGCGATGGAAAGTGCTGGTGGTGTTGCAGCTGATTCCCGAGCGGGGGTAGTATCGCTTGGTGAGGGGGGGCAGCGAGCAAGGGTAGATGATGGGTTTGCGGCATCTTGTCGCGAGGTACTGACTGACTGAGCTGTGAGTTGTGGTCTCGCTTGCGGAAGACTTGGTGAATTGCCAAATGACAGGAGAGAGTCGAGTCGAGTCGAGTCGACAGCAAGCGCCTTGGTTCGACTCTTCTCGTTTGGCCAGTTGCTAATCTCTTCCGGAGCTCCTGGTCAAGAGACTTTCGCGATAGACGGTGCATGTCGAAGCGAAGTCGTTCGTTTGCTTACTGCCTTTCGTCCAAAAGTTTGCAATCACAAGGGTTCACGCACAACGCCACCCTTTACCAGCTGCTTGTTCAAGTTCGAAGACGATCTTGCCGACGAGAGAGAGGCATCGCTCGAGATACAAGGGCATAGCAAAGGCTGGGCAATGGGCAGAGGAGTCTCTCGAGAAGCTGCTGAGTGCATTTCTCCAAGACGTACGATTTTTCCGCTCGACTCGTTGGAAGAAGCAACAGCATGTTGCATGAAGCACCAGGCTTGGCACGTTGAGAATCGAAAGCAGGAGCCACACAGGCACAGACGCACACAGAGACACCCTCTCTCTCTCTCTCTTATCCACCTGGGCGTGCAGAAGACACGCACTGACCACTCGGCAAGCGTAAACGTGTTCATTGAAGATGTGCAAACGACGTGCAAAGCATCACACGGCTGTGGCCTGCACTTGATGCTGACTGTGCTGTCTTAGGTGATCGGCTCGTAGACGGCAGGCCATCATCTCCACGGGTTTAGCACGTCCATAGCTTGTGGCGAGTGGCGACATGTTTTCACCAGTTGGCAGCTACTAGCTCAAACCTGGTTGATCAAGCGTAGCAATACTTGAGCTACTTGTGCCGACTGATTCATGCAGCAAGGTCGACAACTGGGCGGGCGACGTACGGACTTGGGGCAAAACGGCCTGCAAGGTGGTGGGAGGTAGAACACGGTCTTAGATACAGTTTCCTGCTTGCTCGATCTTCTCGTCTAGTCTCTTCTACCATGGAAAAGTCTTACGACCTAAGGCTGCAATCCCGGCTAATCTCCTCGTGAGGTCCCCGCGCGACAGCTCAACACCGCAGACGTGCCCTGCCTTTCTTCGCAGACTTGACGAACCAGCACCCACCCGCTTTCCGCGAGCTTACAATCCGGGGGTCGGAAGCAGCTGCAGCACGAGGATGCACCTTTTCCGACGAGAACGTCGATAGGGTCGGCTAAAGCAGCCCTACTGTCAGCTGCTAGCCAGACCTTCCGGGCACAAAGTTTCCGACTCGAGCGACTTCAACCGAAACCTTCAGCACGATCAAGTGTAGCACGTACGTACTCCGGTCCCTTGCATAAAGTGTCGAGTCGGTACGGTGAGTGGGCCCGGTGACGAGGTAGGTTGATGACCGATACTACGGTCCTCCCAACCCCCCCCCCACATGATTCTTCGCAGCCTCCTAGCGCCTTCCTTCCAGCACAAAGCTGGACTTGTTGCCACGGATACGCACCTCAGAAGTAGGTATCAGTGGTCTTCGTCGTCCGGCTGCCACAAATGAGACCCTGCAAAGACGTGGGCCGTGCGTTCAGTGCGACGTTGGACAGCGTCTACAAGACGGACTTGGTCGTCGCACGACCGTCGAGTCACGCGTGGTCAGAGGCGGTCGGCCAAGGATGCCACTGGAATCGTTTGATCACTGAGTCCTTCTTGTACGGCTACCGAACGGCCGCACAAGATTGATCAGGGGCCATCGCGTGGGACGGTACAAGGTAGATCGCACCGGACTTTCTCGACGGCGGCTTGCAGCATGCAACTATAAGGGAGCCTGTTTGTTTGGCATGCCGTCCGCGCGTTGTTGGGTGGAGACTGTGGTCTCTGCAAACACTTCATGACACGGACGAAGACGAGGTACTTGGCCATGCGCCTTCAATCACACGTGGTAGGATTGTCTGATGGCTGTCTACTGCACGGATAAGACAGCCGACAAGTCGATTTGATTGAGGATGCGGAGCTCGATGCGTGTGCCCCCCCCCCCCCCCCCCCCCCCCCCCCCCCCCCCCCCCCCCCCCCCCCCCCCCCCCCCCCCCCCCCCCCCCCCCCCCCCCCCCCCCCCCCCCCCCCCCCCCCCCCCCCCCCCCCCCCCCCCCCCCCCCCCCCCCCCCCCCCCCCCCCCCCCCCCCCCCCCCCCCCCCCCCCCCCCCCCCCCCCCCCCCCCCCCCCCCCCCCCCCCCCCCCCCCCCCCCCCCCCCCCCCCCCCCCCCCCCCCCCCCCCCCCCCCCCCCCCCCCCCCCCCCCCCCCCCCCCCCCCCCCCCCCCCCCCCCCCCCCCCCCCCCCCCCCCCCCCCCCCCCCCCCCCCCCCCCCCCCCCCCCCCCCCCCCCCCCCCCCCCCCCCCCCCCCCCCCCCCCCCCCCCCCCCCCCCCCCCCCCCCCCCCCCCCCCCCCCCCCCCCCCCCCCCCCCCCCCCCCCCCCCCCCCCCCCCCCCCCCCCCCCCCCCCCCCCCCCCCCCCCCCCCCCCCCCCCCCCCCCCCCCCCCCCCCCCCCCCCCCCCCCCCCCCCCCCCCCCCCCCCCCCCCCCCCCCCCCCCCCCCCCCCCCCCCCCCCCCCCCCCCCCCCCCCCCCCCCCCCCCCCCCCCCCCCCCCCCCCCCCCCCCCCCCCCCCCCCCCCCCCCCCCCCCCCCCCCCCCCCCCCCCCCCCCCCCCCCCCCCCCCCCCCCCCCCCCCCCCCCCCCCCCCCCCCCCCCCCCCCCCCCCCCCCCCCCCCCCCCCCCCCCCCCCCCCCCCCCCCCCCCCCCCCCCCCCCCCCCCCCCCCCCCCCCCCCCCCCCCCCCCCCCCCCCCCCCCCCCCCCCCCCCCCCCCCCCCCCCCCCCCCCCCCCCCCCCCCCCCCCCCCCCCCCCCCCCCCCCCCCCCCCCCCCCCCCCCCCCCCCCCCCCCCCCCCCCCCCCCCCCCCCCCCCCCCCCCCCCCCCCCCCCCCCCCCCCCCCCCCCCCCCCCCCCCCCCCCCCCCCCCCCCCCCCCCCCCCCCCCCCCCCCCCCCCCCCCCCCCCCCCCCCCCCCCCCCCCCCCCCCCCCCCCCCCCCCCCCCCCCCCCCCCCCCCCCCCCCCCCCCCCCCCCCCCCCCCCCCCCCCCCCCCCCCCCCCCCCCCCCCCCCCCCCCCCCCCCCCCCCCCCCCCCCCCCCCCCCCCCCCCCCCCCCCCCCCCCCCCCCCCCCCCCCCCCCCCCCCCCCCCCCCCCCCCCCCCCCCCCCCCCCCCCCCCCCCCCCCCCCCCCCCCCCCCCCCCCCCCCCCCCCCCCCCCCCCCCCCCCCCCCCCCCCCCCCCCCCCCCCCCCCCCCCCCCCCCCCCCCCCCCCCCCCCCCCCCCCCCCCCCCCCCCCCCCCCCCCCCCCCCCCCCCCCCCCCCCCCCCCCCCCCCCCCCCCCCCCCCCCCCCCCCCCCCCCCCCCCCCCCCCCCCCCCCCCCCCCCCCCCCCCCCCCCCCCCCCCCCCCCCCCCCCCCCCCCCCCCCCCCCCCCCCCCCCCCCCCCCCCCCCCCCCCCCCCCCCCCCCCCCCCCCCCCCCCCCCCCCCCCCCCCCCCCCCCCCCCCCCCCCCCCCCCCCCCCCCCCCCCCCCCCCCCCCCCCCCCCCCCCCCCCCCCCCCCCCCCCCCCCCCCCCCCCCCCCCCCCCCCCCCCCCCCCCCCCCCCCCCCCCCCCCCCCCCCCCCCCCCCCCCCCCCCCCCCCCCCCCCCCCCCCCCCCCCCCCCCCCCCCCCCCCCCCCCCCCCCCCCCCCCCCCCCCCCCCCCCCCCCCCCCCCCCCCCCCCCCCCCCCCCCCCCCCCCCCCCCCCCCCCCCCCCCCCCCCCCCCCCCCCCCCCCCCCCCCCCCCCCCCCCCCCCCCCCCCCCCCCCCCCCCCCCCCCCCCCCCCCCCCCCCCCCCCCCCCCCCCCCCCCCCCCCCCCCCCCCCCCCCCCCCCCCCCCCCCCCCCCCCCCCCCCCCCCCCCCCCCCCCCCCCCCCCCCCCCCCCCCCCCCCCCCCCCCCCCCCCCCCCCCCCCCCCCCCCCCCCCCCCCCCCCCCCCCCCCCCCCCCCCCCCCCCCCCCCCCCCCCCCCCCCCCCCCCCCCCCCCCCCCCCCCCCCCCCCCCCCCCCCCCCCCCCCCCCCCCCCCCCCCCCCCCCCCCCCCCCCCCCCCCCCCCCCCCCCCCCCCCCCCCCCCCCCCCCCCCCCCCCCCCCCCCCCCCCCCCCCCCCCCCCCCCCCCCCCCCCCCCCCCCCCCCCCCCCCCCCCCCCCCCCCCCCCCCCCCCCCCCCCCCCCCCCCCCCCCCCCCCCCCCCCCCCCCCCCCCCCCCCCCCCCCCCCCCCCCCCCCCCCCCCCCCCCCCCCCCCCCCCCCCCCCCCCCCCCCCCCCCCCCCCCCCCCCCCCCCCCCCCCCCCCCCCCCCCCCCCCCCCCCCCCCCCCCCCCCCCCCCCCCCCCCCCCCCCCCCCCCCCCCCCCCCCCCCCCCCCCCCCCCCCCCCCCCCCCCCCCCCCCCCCCCCCCCCCCCCCCCCCCCCCCCCCCCCCCCCCCCCCCCCCCCCCCCCCCCCCCCCCCCCCCCCCCCCCCCCCCCCCCCCCCCCCCCCCCCCCCCCCCCCCCCCCCCCCCCCCCCCCCCCCCCCCCCCCCCCCCCCCCCCCCCCCCCCCCCCCCCCCCCCCCCCCCCCCCCCCCCCCCCCCCCCCCCCCCCCCCCCCCCCCCCCCCCCCCCCCCCCCCCCCCCCCCCCCCCCCCCCCCCCCCCCCCCCCCCCCCCCCCCCCCCCCCCCCCCCCCCCCCCCCCCCCCCCCCCCCCCCCCCCCCCCCCCCCCCCCCCCCCCCCCCCCCCCCCCCCCCCCCCCCCCCCCCCCCCCCCCCCCCCCCCCCCCCCCCCCCCCCCCCCCCCCCCCCCCCCCCCCCCCCCCCCCCCCCCCCCCCCCCCCCCCCCCCCCCCCCCCCCCCCCCCCCCCCCCCCCCCCCCCCCCCCCCCCCCCCCCCCCCCCCCCCCCCCCCCCCCCCCCCCCCCCCCCCCCCCCCCCCCCCCCCCCCCCCCC